CATCTTCCCTTCTATTAATTCATTTACATCATTATAAGAATGTTCTTAGAATAAGTAACACCTTTTAAAGCAGTATGAACGAAATATGAAAAGGACTATTTATTGAAGTAAAAGAAGTCTAAAGATCCAATAATAAAAAAAATATTATAAGTATCTAATTCAAAATTAGGTAAAATTATAGGAATTTGCAGACTTATTAATTGAAAGAGAACCTTTTATATGTGGTTTTTTTTGTATCTTTATGATCCAACTTACAAGTCAAAACATCGTAAATGTATATTTTTAACAACAATATTACGTGCATCATTTTATTTATGAATAAATTTTAGGGAGAATCTCCCAGGAAAAAGTTTGGAATTAACGAATCTCAAGTTAAATTTGATAACAATATTTTAATAGGTTTTAACAACACCAGACTTGAAAATATTAACACATTTTTTTTTATTAGTGATTTAGAAACTCGAAGGTAGTTTTTGTGAGATTTTTCTTAAATTTTAGCTAAATTATTTTTTTGGACTGAATTTTAATTAAATTATATAGGCATCATCATTTAATTCAAAAATCTCATATGATTATTGACTCCCATGAAGCATGTGATGACAAAAAGTACGAGAAATTATGCATGTGGAAAGGTGTTGGACGATGACCCACCACAGCCAAAAATGTGCCCTTTTTGAACGGACCAATGAGTTTTACCGTTTTAAAAATTGTTCCTCGCATCTCTCGTGTCCCGGAAATTTTTTGATTCTGATGGTAAATTTGGTATCACATTTAATAAATAATTTTTAAATTTAATTCTTTGATGTGATTCCCCCAGTTATAACTTCACTTTTCAATATATAAAGCAGTGCTGGGTGTTATATTAAGTGCCATGAATATTTAGCTTATAAAATTTATTTAAATTGCATACCATGTATGTGTGTATATATATATATATATTTTTTTTATCTCTATCTTGCGTATGATTAAATCCTAACTCGACATATATATATTACTTAATTTTATTTTCATAATGAAGTTCCATTTTAACTATGATTAGGTCTCAGTATACGTTACTAGTGAAAGTTCATTATCTAGCTACATGCCAAATATTACTAGTACCACCCGTCCTAAATATAAATTTAAATTTATAATGCAAATTACACTATAAATTATATCTACAAATAAACGAGGTAAGACTGATAGGTAATACTACCTCCAGTTGTAAATAAAATATCTTGTTCGTAACATAATTTGTAATATAAACCAGATTTTATATTTAGGGCTTGAGATAATAATTTTTTTGGAGGGACACATATATATAACTCCTACTTTCTTTTTTTTGGAATAATGCTGAAAATCTTGCTAAACAAGGCACAAGGCCAGACAAAGATCAGCCTCCTTCATTTAATTTGTTTTTATTAAGAAAATGTTCTTAAAAAAGGTCAGCACGAATTTCTCGCGGGTTATTTTTAATAATAAACAAAATGATATAGTATTAGCTAGGGGTTACCTTTCAGATGTTATACTAGGATGCATTCGAAAGTGTATTGGCAGTTTTATTTCCTATAATGATAATAATAAAACAAATGATTATGATTTTTTTTTTCCTTCTTTCAGATCAGATGGTGATTATGATTATTTATGCATTTGTGTATTTTCTTTGGTTCAATCCTGTAAAAAAAAAAAAAGTTACGAAATACATCAATGGTAATCACTCCTTAGGAAGTATAGAAACTTAGCTTCCTCCACCTTATTCTATTGAAACATATCAAGAAATATGGAAAGATAAAAATAAAGTTGCATAAAATGTACGTGTAGAAGAAAACTGAAGGAATAAAAGAAAATTGTACCGGACTTGAATACATGTACGGACTTGAATACACACACATGGGAGTTATATATTTATAGGGAAAAAATTAGATATATACACAATAATAATTTCAACCAAATTCAAAGAAAATTTGTTTGCCTGGCAATAGGTTTTTGTGTTTATGCATGTGGCCTGGATCAGCTAGATTAAGATCGAATGATTTAGGTTTAATATTATTTTGTTTTTATAATTGTTAAAGGGTTAATATAATCTTTGGTCCCTATAGTTTTATCTCATTTTGGTTTTAGTCCTTATAGTTTAAAACCACAGGTTTTGGTCCCTGTAATTTTCTCCCATTTCAAACATTAGTCCCTATAGTTTAAGAAGGACCTGAACTCCAAAATAATGGTGTTAAAAATGCTGAGCTATCACTAACAGTGTTTATTTTCCTTATATGGCTTGATGACTGGACAAGGTGATGTGGAAAAAATACTGGTTGTGCTTTGACATGTAAATATTAAAAAAAAAAAAAAGAAATAAGGGTAAAACATAAAATGCATAGCAAGGAGCACCAAAAAGGATTTGAGAATGAAAGGGATTGGAGGGTTTGGTCAAGGCGGACCCACCTTTGTTATGCCGGAATTCTGAGCGGTCATCGGTGGAGACCAAGTTCCTAGTGAGCTTCCGGCGATGCCTCTAATAGTTGATTGTGGTGGTATTGTGGTTGTCTTTTTAACTGTGTTGAAGGGTGAGGAAAAATTTGTTATCTTTGATCATTAAAACCTTTTGCTCTGATTTGGAGTAGCAAAGTAAAGTAAAACTGAGGCTCTTCTTTATCTTTTTTATTACTATCAATTGTTTTGATTCCATCTCATTGTGGTCTTTTTTTGTTAAAATTTGTGGCTATAGAACTAGTCGTTCTTCTTCATGAAGTTTTGGCCTCTTTAAAGTGCGGTCTATATTTGGCTGATTATTGTTGCTCTGTTCTTTACATTATTTCTTCACACTATAGAATTTTGTTCCATTATTGCTTTGTTTTTTGTTTGGTTTTTGTGAAATAATTTCAGCCAAAAATGCTGATTTTCTAATCTTCATTATGCCTGTTACAGCCTTTTTTTCTTGTTTTATTTTATTTTCATATTGATATGATGTAAACCATTGTTAATATTAAATGGTACTGAGGTTTAGCATACCATTGTTAATATATCAATTCAATTAGTGATTCTTCCGAGGGTTTAGTTACAGTTACGATTTGGTACCCATCTTTAATAATTTTGATAATTAGTTTTTCATTTTTTTCCTGATCATCTGATCCTAAATATTTTCTATCTTCCATCTTTTGAACCCTAATCCTCAATCATTTTCAGGACTGAAAACATGGAAGAGAACAAGTACCTTTACTTAAATGGATTTTTTCAATAGTTAACAGCGAGGTGATGAAATTTGCTCCTGAAAAATACTTCCAAAAAAAAAAAACTAGAGTACTTTCACTTAACACTAACCTTCAAATTTAAGTGGCTAGATGTACCTAGAAAAATATTTTTGGATATTGAATTAACTTCAAAATACTATAGAACATTGAATATATTTAGAAAAATACTTTAGAGTGCTGAATGCATATTAATTTTCCGTTTATATTTATGAGCTGGTACAAAGCACAACCTAACCAATGATGATGATTATATCCCATCTACTCCTCAAAAGTTTTCTTAGCTAATGAGTTTTCCCGTAGCACCTTGACCAACCATCTTAGCAACACCCCTAACTTCCTCGTACTAATGATCAATACTTCTAACAATCACTGGTTTGCGGGAAAGAACCGTGCAAGCAGCATCCTATATATTGACGAAAATATCATCCATCGCATTTTTTACATTGTCCCCACAACAAACAGTACAATGAATGAGTAAAAGCTTTAATTTCATTGATGGAAAAAACAGTGAATAAAAACTACCCTTTTGATCATTTTTCCCCACTTAATGAACTTGAACATGATGTTTGACTTTTATTTTGCTCCTAAATATAAGACCCCAATCCACTTTGTCTTTCATATTTATGCATTTGTTCCCAAAGTAATCTTTCTAGCAATGATAGTTATAACCAATACACTTGATTAGCAAGGATATTTTAAGAAAAATAACACATATTTATTACAAATAACTAACTTAACTTTTTTTTCTTAATCTCTTCAAATTAGTCAACTAGTTTTTATAATTAGGACCAGAGGTAGTAATATATATGACATAGTTAAAAACAGTTGAACGACCAAATATTTGAAATAATGCTATCTCTGTAATTCAAATTAAACTACAGACTAAATTTTATAATACTTCTGGTCTTTAATATAAGAACTAATTGACTAATTTGACTATATTAAAAAAGTTTGTTGATTAGTTATTAGTAATAAATATGTGTTGTCTTTTCTAGAATACCCTTATCAATAATGTGTATTAGATAAAATTATCATTTAATAGGATCTGTAACATATGCAACTACTATAAGAACTACTTAAAAAATGGATAAACATGAGAGATAAAGTGAATTAGATTCTTATATTTAGAACCAAATTGAATATAAAACTAACCTTAATTAAAGACTGAAAGTAGTATTAAGGATAGAGATGCAGTTTAGTTGACGCGTTTATTTGGTCAAACTGCCATTAAAAATAATATAAATGTAGTAACCTAGACCAATTGTATCATTTGGTTTTTCTTATGATTTACCGTTAAATATTTTCTATCAAATTCCCTTGCCACACGCACACAGAACACAGAAATCTTTTTTTTTGTTGAGATGAAGGGCAAGCGAAAGCTTGGTAGAAGATATGGATGACATACAGAAATCAAGTTCCAGATGTCATCTTAAGAACTGCCGAAACAAAAAAGCACACGCACAATGAAATCCAAGATGATTTAGGCGAAGAGGAGCTGAAGAATTCCCAGTCGGACTCATTCATCACTACTTCTCTCTTCTTCTTTTTTTTTTGGTTACAAAGAAGGCCAAAGCCCAATAAGCAAAAAACTTTATCCTATACCAACATTGCCATCTAAATCCCTCGTATGATCAGGAAAGTGACTTCCAGCTTTATCTTTCTGAAAAGCAGATCTGACACCTAATTCCACTTCCGCTACATTCCTCCAAACTCCTTGTCTACCAAAACACGATCTAGCGAGCTCATCAGCACATCCATTTGCAGACCGCCGAATCACTACTTCTCTCTTTTAAATTCTCCCTCTTTTGCGTCATCGATCCCACCCTTTGTTCTCATAGATTTCAGCCTTTGAAGATCTTCAATCAGAGCCGTCAGTTTCCTTTGTGAGGACCCACCTTCTCCGATTGCTGCCTTAGCCTTCTCTGTGAGCTCTCGAACGCGCCTCCTTATGTCCATCGCTTCATCTCCACCGTCCATTAACTTCCTTACAGCTCTCTCTATGCGGTCCCGTTTTACCAGATTCTTGGTGGCATACTCCACGTATATATTTAGGACCCAATCATCTGCTCCCACCTCCACCCCGATCCCATGCACCTGCGCGAGAAGCTTCTCGTTGAAAAACTGCTCGCTGTGCAACGGCCAAGTAATCATCGGAACTCCGGCACAGATCCCTTCCATCAGCGAGTTCCACCCGCAGTGCGTCATGAACGCTCCGATGGCGGCGTGGTCCAGTATCAGTGTTTGTGGGGCCCATCCACGTATGATCATTCCCCTGTCTTCCCGCCTCATCCTTTCTTCGAACTCTCTCGGCATCCATTTCTGCCTGTCTTCCTCAGTTTCGTTCTCCGTTCGGCCTTTATTGTGAACCACCCAGATGAACTTGTGGCCGGAGGATTCCATCGCACTTGCTATTTCGAACAGCTGTTCGTCGGTGAAGTAGGCGCCGCTTCCGAAGCAGACGTAAAGCACCGAGTTTGGTTGCTTCGAGTTGAGCCAACTCAGGATCTCGTCCTCGCTCACCACCGCCTTCAAGTTCCTCTCCGCCTTGTCCTCCGACGACCTGTTCAGGAGAGTAGTGGGGCCCACGTGCCATACGGCTTTCCCCGTGGTTTTCTCGTAGTGCTCTATGTATTCCTCTTCGAGCTCGGCGAAGCTGTTGACTATGCGGCCATAGCAGTTCAGTTCCGAGTCTCTGAACGAATCCATCATGTAGGTTATTTCGTTCGTAGTTAGGGCGTAGTCTGGAAGCCGGGAAAGAGTCACGGTGATCGGGTGGGGAAGACCCGCAAGGACAAATGGGTCGGATTTGGAGCTTGCAAAGCGGTGCGGGGAGCCTGGTCGTCTGACGGACTCCAACAAGCAGGTGGGAAACGATCCGGATCCATCGAAGAACAGCCGCGGGATTCCCAATCGATTCGCGAGGTCGGAGGCCCAAGGGTAAAACAGATCGGCGACGATACAGTCGGGGGGGTTCTGCTCCATGAACTGCTCCATTTGATGGCGGAGGAGGCCCATTCCACGGAAAACTTTGGTGGCGACGTCGGTGTCGTCAACGCCGACGACATTCTCGACGCCCTCAGGGAGACCAACCTCCTGCGAAGGGAACTTGAGGCTGTGGACATGGATGCGAATACCAGCAGCCTCGGCCCTGAGCAAAGGTTTGCGCAGGAAGCCGGCGGAGGAAGGGGTGGTGAGTAAGGTCACGTGCACGCCACGTGAGGCGAAGAGACGACAGAGTTCAAAGAGAGAAACAATATGACTAGGGCCCACGGAGGGTATGAAGTAAATTTTCAAAGGAGGTGAATTAGCTTCCATTGTGAAAGAGAATCAGATGGCCATCCACCATCGTGGTTTTGAAGATGGAATTTATAGATGACGATAAAATAAATAAATAATGAAATAAAAAGAAAAATAAATCGGCCGTGTCTTTAGAATAGAAGTTGGCTACCGTTTGGGAAAAAGACAAATATGTTGACTAGATATTTATATTCGAACTTGTGATATTTGTGTTGAAATAATATCTTTTATGTGTGACTTTTGATTTCTTCGTAATCAAATTGATCAGTCAAAACTTCACAGGTATGTCCATATGATTCTTTGGCCCAAATTTTAGTTAAATTATATAGGTATCATCACTTAATCATTCGAAAATATCGCAGTAGTATTTTTATTTTGATAAATGGTGAAATGACAAAAGAAAAGAAATTAGGCAAATTTGTGGCAAAAAAATTCTCTCTTTAAAAGTATCATTGGTGAGAGATATCTAAATCAATCTAGTGGTACTCTGTGCTTTGCATACAAATTTATCGAATTCCTGTAACAAAAAATTTCAACTATTCAGTTAATCTGTCGTGTTAACGTTATTACTTCTATATGAAAAATCATATTCACCGGTAAAAAAGCTATTTATTTTGTATTAATAGCGTAAAAATAATCTTATAAAGTAAGGACATGATAATAGTTATCTAAATATGTCAACTAGTACGTGCAGGAATTTAATTAAGGATGGAGAGATCAGAGATGTAGACCACCCTTTTTTGGCCACCGTAGATCACTCATTCCTTATGTTCACAAGAAAAAGGGAATAATGGAAAATTTCAGAAAAGATAACTTGAAATTATATTTTTTCAATTCAGGCACATCATAGGAGTGAGCAAAATCGAACTGTAACTGAAAACCGAACCAAATTCAATTTCAGTTTTTATTTTTTTAATAATTTGGTTTCGGTGTTTGGTTCGGTTAGTAAACAAAAAAAATTAGGTTATAACTGAAAAATCGAAATAAATATATTATATATTTATATATGTGTGGGTTTATGTGAACTCTTTAAATATATTTATATTCAATAAATATGGTTATAATAAATATTATTATAATAAATCACATTAAATGATGAAATATTTATTAATTAATAGTTGTAATTGTGTTTTATTATTATTACTAAATTAAAATCACTTTCTTATTTATATATTTCAGTTAATTGGTTAACCAAACTGAAATATTTTGATTAATTCGGTTTCGGTTCGGTGTTTAAAATTTACTCTACTCGGTTAATTCGGTTATCAATAATAACCGAACTGAAAAACCGAATGCTTACCCCTACACATCAAAGTTGAAAGTGATAGCAGAATAGGTGGTGTCTGATATGATATTTTGTAAATATAGTTAAATGATTAAAATGTCTTCGTATTATATTTTTTTAAAAAAACAACTATCAAACTTGTCATTGCCAATATATTTTTGGTCATTGATTGTTCAACGCTTGTAATTAATAGTTTACAGCTTGGTAATAAATAATTTATCACTGTTAATATATTTTTTATCATTTGCTATACTTACCATTATCAATTCAGAATTTGTAAATAAACTTTTTGATATAAGGGTCTTTTAGCCATTTAAATATATTTGCAAAATACCATATCAGTCACTACTTTCTCTTATGTCATTTTTAACTCTTAAATACCTGATTTAGAATATTACATTTGTCAGTTTCTTCGTTTATTATTTTCTCTAGAAAAATAAATACAAATATGAATATTTGTGGGGAAAATAATTTGATGTTAAAAAAGCGATTATTATTGTCGATTCTCATTATATTTGTGGGTCCCCACCCCACGTCCCTGCCTTCCCTCTTTATCCTTTTTGTACGGACCAATGAGTTTTTCCGTTTAAACATTGCTCCTCGCGTATCTCGCGTCTCCGAATTTCATTGATATTTTTATGGGAATATTATTTTAAAGGATTAAATTTAATCGGTCAAATTTGAGTTAGCCTCACGCCCAAGAACTTTGTTTCAAGAGAAATTCTTAGGTAATTTGGGAGTACCACCTCATTTGAACACTGTCTAATTAAATCACACCAAATCAATGTATGGCAGGCCCACATGTCAATCTACGTGGCACATTTTCAATAGAAAAAATTTTATTAAAAAAATTCTGTTAAAATTGTTTCCTCTTTCCCTTTTTTTTAACACAGCTCACTTGCATTTCCTCAAAATTTTTAAAATCCATCTGGCCCCATTTTGTTTTGTTGCTACTTAGTTTGTTGAAGGATGAAAGATGAATAAAGGAGCTGGAGTGCGGGAGAGCAAACATAGCTCTCATAATCTTAAGATTCGTAGAGTGCTCATAGATGAGATCATGTTCGGGTGACACTCTTCAAAGAGCTTGAGCACAAGCCAACCTTGGCTAACAAAATAATGGCGTAGGCGGAGGGCATTGTGGCGGCTGAGGTGTGGTGAAATTGGGGAGGATGCAATATGAGTGGGAGAAATCGAAAAAAGGGATTTACAAAAAAAAAAGAAAGAAAGAAAGAAGAAACAAATGGATTGGTAGGATGAGCACGATGAAAAGAGGAGAGAAAAACTGGCAAAGGATAGTGAAAAAGGAGGAGTAAAGAGAGTCCGGAAAAATGGGGAAGGGAAGACGCAGAAGAGAGAGAAAATTTAAGAGTGGTGTGTTTTAAAATGGGAGAGAGAAAACAATTTTAACAGAATTTTTTAATAAAATTTTTTCTATTGAAAATGTGCCACATATATAGACTGACATGGGGGCCTGCCATCCACTGATTTGGTATGATTTAATTGGACAGTGTTCAATTGAGGTGGTACTCTGAAAGTACCTAAGAATTTCTCTTATATCTAGTGAGAAAGGAAAATTTCTGAAATTATATTGTAGCACTAAGAATTAAAAAATGAATTAAAAACATTTTTTTGTGAATCAATTTCTGGCTCATTTCACACGTTACGAATTTAAAATAAAAAAAAACGTGTTGATAACATTAATTAGAGACTTATCATTTTTCATTAGGGCTTGTTATTCTCACAGGAAGTGTTGTGAGTGACCTGTAATAGGTAAATGAGTTAACTTTTTTTTTTTGGCATTATAATACTACCTCCAGTTCTTAATATAAGACATTATCTTATTTTTATTTTAGTCTTAAATATAATATCTCAATCCATTTTGTCTCTCATATTTATGCATTTTTTTCTAAGATAGTCTTTTTAACAATGATAGTTCAAGCCAAGACGCTTGATTAGTAAGGATATTTTAGGAAAGACAACACCTACTTATTACAAATAACTAACTTAATTTCTTTCCATAATCTCTTCAAATTAGTTAACTAGCTTTTATAATTAGGAACGGAGATGGTATTAATAAGACATGCTGGCTCAATAATCATTCTTAATTTTATGATGTAAGTGATTAGGGGGCTGGGCTGGAAGCCGCCGGGAATTCTCCGGCAAAGAGTTCTTCTTCTTCTTCTTCTTCTAACAAATGCAGGTATATGCGCCTTTTTACTTGAATTTCATTACCGAGAAGACTATAGTTAGCAACAAAATTGTATGGCTAAACTGATTTATCAACAAAATTTTATTGCTAATTCACTGTTTGAAATGATAGTAAGACCATTCAAGAATTACTTTTTAATCATAATTTACATAATATGAGTGAAGTATTGTAAAAAAGAACTCTTGACAAGCCTAGGTCAGGTTTTTATGGCCAGGTTCTCCCCTCATTACTTTATACTCCTCTGATTCTTAATATAGGATCCAATTATTGAATTAGTTTTGGTCCTAAATATAAGACCTATTTTTCATATTTATCAATTTTTCTAAAGTACCCCTATGGATACTCCTTCAACCATAATCAAGTAGAAGAGGGAGAGGGGATATTAAGAAAGATGATTATGGTATTTTAGGAAAAACGTGTTACATTTCTTATAATTAACTAACTTACCTAACTTCCTTAATCTAATCAAATTAGTTGAATGAGTCTTATATTAAAGACTGGAGGAGTATTTCGGTGAACTCTCGTGCCCTTCCCTTCGAGGCGTATATGGAAATCCCATGTGTAATAGAACCACCCTTCCAACTTATTTGGGCATGTTTGAATTGGGGGAAAAAAATGATTTGGTAATTTAGAGAATAAATTTTCTCAAAAGCTTAACGATATTGCTTTTCCACAAATCATGGTTTCAACTCTCCAAACCATGATTTTTAGTTCATTAATTACTTTTTTTTAATGATTTTTTCGAATTTTTGGATGGAATCCCCACAAAACATTGATTTTTGCTTCAAAAGTGGTTGTTAGAGTGGTCACAAAAAATACACAATTATATATATTAGATATTACGAAAAATGATTAAAAAAATACCTGTTGAATTTCAAAATGATAATTAGATTACACTGACTATTCTTGTAATAGTTTTGACTATTATTGTAATGATTTTTATATATCAAAATCTCTCAAAATCACCTATTTATCATTTAAAATTTAATAAGCATTTTTGGTCATTTTTTCCTGAAATTATTCACACATGATTCTAAAATGATTACAAAAACATTCTAGTTATTATGCCTAACTCCTGTCTTTAATATAAGAATTAGATAAGAAATTTAAGTAGATTAAAAAAATTAGTTAAGTTGGTTAATTATAGCAAATATATGTTAACTAATTTCTTAAACTACTCTCTTTAATTGTGTACATTAAAATTATTGTACATTGAAATTATCTCTTAGTGGAAACCCCTTACAATTAATAAGGATATTTTACCCAAAAAAATTATAAAATCCAGAGAAAAATATATTAAAGTATTATACTTAGTATCAAATATAATGTCCAATTAGTTTTTATATTAAGTGCTTGAAGTAGTAGTATGTTATACTATCTCTGGTCCTAATTATAAGATCTCGTTTATAGATTATAAACGAGATCTTATAATTAGGACCGGAAGTAGTACTTACATATGTTTGTTTATTTCAAAGGAGGTTTCTATGGGTCAATGTGAAACCTTTTTTTCTTTTTAAATATTCTTTCTACTTCATCTCGCGTTGACATATATTTCAGAGGGATCTAGTTTGGATATTCCATATTTTAAAATAAGGAAATATGTTTACATCCATTTTGAAAAATAAATAAGATTATTGTGTATTTTAATAAAAATATTTTTTTAAGAACTTGATTTTTTTTCCCGACATTATTCTAATTTCTTAACATAAAAGCTGTTTGGTTTAATTTACCAAATTTCTTAGGAAATAAATTTTCCAAGGAATACAGGCGGCATAGTTTCCAAGAGGTTTATAGTTGATTGCTTGATTTATATATACTTCAATTCTATTCTATGAAATAAATTAATCCTTCTAAATAAATAAGTTTTTTTAATACCATTTTGTTTTATATTAATTAAAACATGGTAAAATACAAAGGAGCCTATTACAAGAAGGTACACTAATGCTTTGATATATATATATATTTATATATGTTGCTTTCCCACAATGTGGTTAAGATCATCATGATGGAGGGGCGTATATACATGGACTAGCCTGAATTGAATTAGTCATCAATGTAAGGTCTAGTCTAAAGAAGATCTCAATCTATACAAGGGAGCTTATGATTTGGTCTATTCCAGTAGATACTTGAGGTTGGGTTGGATTAGACTTGATTAGTCAGATTGTTTGGACTAGTCCGAATAATCCCGGATCTCAATTTACTATTTTTAAAAAAAAAAATTCAAAGATAAGATTTTAACTTGGTAAACATGATCTAAGAGAACAATAATCATATAAAACTCATCCCAAAACATTAAAACTTAATTATAAATCTATAGGAATGTCCAGTAATACACAACAACAGTAAAAAGAAACATTGAAGTTATGAAATATGGAAGGAAAAAAAAAAATCTAGTCTAATCACTTGTTCTATAACTTGGTTCAGGGCGACCAGCTGTCATGGTCTTGTCTGGTTTTATTATGGAGCTTATTCCAGAATGAACCAAACGGTATTTGCTAACTCAGTAACTCCTATGGTCTGGTGACTGTTGCTTTCCTTTCTGCTCTGTTTCGGCCAAGATCTTCTATCAGCAATGTTAGATTCTTCTGCGACGACCCACTTTCTTCGACGGCGGCTTTCGCCTTCTTCTCCAGCTCTTTCACTCTCTTCCTCATCTGTTCCGCTTCATCTCCGACGTCCATTATCTTCTTCACTGCCTTCTCTATCCGATCCCTACTCACCACCTTCTTCCTCTCGTGCCCGGCGGTGACGGTCCACTCCTCTGACCCGACTTCTACTCCGATCCCATGCACCTGGGTTATCAGCTTCTCGTTGTAGAACTGCTCCGCCGTCAACGGCCATGTTATCGTCGGAACCCCTGCACATATCCCCTCCATCACCGAGTTCCACCCACAGTGGCTCAGGAACCCTCCAGTCGCCTCGTGTTCCAGGATCAAGGCCTGGGGGGCCCATCCCTTAATGATCATCCCCCTCCTCTCTCTCTTCATCACCCTATCTTTGAACCCCATCGGCAGCCATTGATCATCTTCATCATTCTGATCTTTCCTGAAAACAACCCAGATAAAAGGGTGGCCTGAAGATTCAATCCCAGAGGCTATCTCGTGTAATTGTGTATCAGAGAAGAAACACGAACTTCCAAAGCAAATGTAAACCACTGAGTTCGGTGGCTTCGAGTTGAGAAAGTCCAAGCACTCATGGTCGCTCACCATGCTCTTCATCCCCCTCTCAGATTTCTCTTGATCGGTTTTGTTCACCAGAAAAGAAGGTCCCAGATGATAAATCTTATAGCCCATGATTTTCTGGTAATGTTCTTTGTATTCCTCTTCAATCTCGACGAAACCGTTTACCAAGCGACCATAGCTCTTCAACTCGGCCCCTCTGAACTTTTCCATCATCATCCCGAAACTGTCAGGTGTTTTGACGTAATCCGGAAGCTGGCATAATGTCATGGTGATCGGGTGAGGAAGACCCGGTATGAGAAACGGGTCGGACTCAGACTTTGCTTTGTGGTGGGGCGAGTCGGGTCCTCTCACAGCCTCAATCAAAGAGACGGCAAAAACAGAGTATCCGTCGAAAACCAACCTGGGAATTTGCAATCGGTTGGCGAAGTCGGAGGTCCAGGGGAAGAAGGAGTCAGATACAATGCAATCGGGGGGTCAGATTCCATGAAATCCTCCATACGCTGCTGGAGGATGCCGAAGGCTTGAAAGAACTTGAGAACGCTATCGAAGTCGGTGGCCTGGAAGAGATTCTCAAGGCCGTCGGGCAAACCCACCTCTCTGGAAGGGAACTGAACACATTGAAAACGAAGAAGATGACTGTGATCGGAGACCGCCGAAGACTGAAGAGAGCGAGCGTTGGAAGGGGTGGTAAGGATTGTCACGTGGTGGCCACGTGCGACAAAGAGGCGAGAGAGCTCGAACAGAGGAACCATATGGCTTGGAGTGAGAAAGGGGATGAAGTAGATTTTCAAAGGGGAAGAAGAAGAAGACGACTCCATTATTGGATTCTTGAGACTTAGCTGCCACAATGGGTACGTACATGCCACTCTCTATTTTATGCGGGCATTTGTACGGATCAGAGGTACTCGTGGAGCTCGCATGCAAGAGCCTCTAAATATTTTACATGCACGTGGGAACATTTTTAAGGGTTTTTTTTTTTCATTCATCCTATTAAAGTAATCTGAAGGTAATTTGAAATTTCGCTATATTAAAGTAATGAAAATGGTGAGGCAGAAATTTAATTGAAGGGAAGATCCGCGGAACGCACGAGTTTGGGCTTAAATTTGTATAGGCTTTTTTTTTTACATATATACCATAAACAGTAATTTGTTTTACTCAGATATTATAGCATGAAAAATATTTACTGAGATACTATACTTCAAAATCGTTCAAGTAGAGATCGAGTTTAAATTTATAAAGAATTTATTCTTATTAAGAATAAATACAGTGAGTCTCACATTAAAAATTGTAGAACTTGTTCTTATTAAAAACAAGTTCAGCGGGTTTCATCTTAAAAAGTGAAGTTGTTCACACCTTAAACAACTTTGGTTTTGTCTTTTAGCATCATTGTGTTTTTTTCTTCAACTCCTTCGTCTTTCCATTATTCTTCCTCCTCTTTAAGTTTCTTCCTTCTTTTATAAGAGAGCTAGTGGTGTGTGCTGCTTTCTTGTATCTATGTTGTTTCAACTTAAAATTTGATTGTTTTTACCTGATTAAGGTACATTCTCTTTATTAACTTTTTTCTTAATTTTTACATGTATTTTCTTACATAATGGGAAGAATTTTATATTTAGTCATTTTATATATTAAGTTTGTTTAAATTTTTATATTTAATCATTTTTATATGTTGCCTTGTAGACCTTGTATACATTGAATTTTAAGTTTGTCACTTGTCTATAGTAAAAACAATTCTTCAAATACTACATAGTGGGAATTGAGTTTGACTATAGTATTTGGAAAAATATAAAAGAAATATAAAATTCAATGTATACAAGGTCTACAAGGCAACATATAAAATGACTAAATATAAAATTCTACTCATCATTTAAGAAAATACACATAAAAATTATAAAAAAAGTTAATCAAAAGAATTTACCTTAATTAGGTAAAAAAAATCAAGTTTTAAGTTGAAACAAAACAGATATAAGAAGATAGCACACACCACCACCTCTCTTACAAAAGAATAAAAAAACTTAAAAAGGAAGAAGAATAATGGAAGGACGGAGGAGCTGAAGAAAAAAAGACAATGACACTAAAAAACAAATCAAAGTTGTTAACAACTTCACTTTTTTAAGGTAGGATCCATTGAACTAGTTCTTAGCAAGAACGAGTTCTACAATTTTTAATATGGGACTCACTAAACTTGTTCTTAGTAAGAACGAGTTTTTTATAAATTTAAACTCGATCTTTGCCTGAACGATTTTGAAGTGTGTATTCTCAATGAATTTTTTTATGCTAAGATATCTGAGTAAAATGAATTACTGTTTATAGTATTTATCTAAAAAAGCCCTTTGCATATGTAGTGTATGGCAGAAGGAACATGATCAAAATGAAAATGGTGAGGCAGACAATTTAATTCAATGAGAATGGTGCGTGGCATAAAATTTTACAAACCTTGATCATGATTTTGAATCTTTGAAGTCTCATGTTCACAATCCTCATTTTGTTCCTTTACTTCTTTTTCTTTTTTGCGTTTCACGATATATTAAACTTTTGAGAATTAATTATATACTTGGTTTAATTTGTACCTTAAGCCATTTGATAGGATTTATCTTTAATACTACCTTCGGTCCTAATTATAAGAGTTAGTTGACTAATTTGAGGAGTTTAAGAAAATAAGTTAAGTTAGTTATTTGTAATAAATATGTGTTGTCTTTCATAAAATATCTTTGCTAATCAAGTGTATTGGTTGAACTACCATTATTAGAAGAATATCTTGGAAGAAAATGCATAAATATGGAGAGACAAAATGAATTAGGGTCTTAT